CATTGATAGAAAGATCTAATCAATTTAGCCAAAATTAAAACAAAATGATTTGTTATCCTTTATAAGTAATTATTAATAAATAGTAATATAGACAATATAATAATTAAATAAAAAATAATTATTTGTCCTTTTAACTCTAATTCTTCGTATTAAACGACATAAAAGATTATTATGATCTTCTCTATTTTTCACATTCTCCATCTCTTCTATCAAACTAAGCCTAATGACGAGGGGAAAAACTGGAGTCCAAGTTGAATTGAAAAAACATTACATATATACTAGCTATGAAATAAAACTTTGTGTTTGTAGCTAGCCTACACGTTTATAATAATTTGTATTTTTTTCTTTTTAAAATTTTTTAATAATAGTTTGTCTAATTTAAGATTTTAACACATCCCTTTTCATTTCCAAATAAAAATACTATTATTTTAACAAACTAGACGGTAAACTCACAAAATATATCATGTTCCTCTCTTTTAACAAATATAAGCTATATTTTTTTTTTTTTTAAAAAGTACACACTAAAAATGTAAATATGTTTTTTTTCCTTCTTCTTTTTTTTTTTTTTTTGAGGAGTCTTCTATATGATACTACCTTTATAATTCATCTAAAATATTCAACTACAAGTAAACTATAATTTAAAACTAAATTTATCGCTTATGAAAACAGTAAATATTACTCGAAAAATAATTTATAAATAATTTAGATTACAATGAAATTAACACTTAAGAGAATAACTAGAAAATGTAACATCATTTATTTTCTTTATTAATCCCCACATGCAAAGCACTTGATTCCCCTAATAACGCCTAAAAATGTCAAATGAGTTAGCTTCGGCAAAAAAAAAAAAAAAATGTTATATAATATGAAACTTCAAGATTTCATTTAGTTAAAAAAAAAATATTACTATAAATCGATTAGTCTTTATATGTGTTGTAATTCGTATTTAGTGGCATATAACATGCTACTCCATGACGTATAAAATTGCCGATTTAGTATATAATTATTTGTAAAGAATGAAAAAAAAAGAATTATTTGGGAGAGATTAGAGAAAATTAGTGAACTTACTCTTAGATTGCATAGGTGTAGATTATTACTCTTTATTATTGATTTATTATTCTTTGAGTAATGTTAAGAATACCGACTCAAATCTCAACTTTTGTGTGCCGACTAATATGACATGTGAGTTGTCATCTTTTTATTGATAGATGTAATTTTTTCATTAATTGACATGACAATGTTTTAAATATCTATCAATATAAAAATAACAACTCACATACTACATTATTTAGTATATAAAATTTGAGATTTAAATTAGTGTCCTTAGTATTATTTTTATCTTTTTGACTAATATAATTGTCACGTACCCAATTTGAAAAATATAATTGCCACGTTAGAGTTGAACTCAGGCAGCAAAGCAATAAAATTGTAGAGTAGAATACAAGGAACACTCACCTAATACCATCCACTAGAGCGATTAATTTGGCATCTTGTTCAATTAGGGGAATCTGAAGCAAAATCCAACTTAGATTAAGGGTTTAATTGTTTTGATTTTAATTAAAGATGACAAATTATGTCACGTATCATGCGTCATGAGGGGATACTTGAAGTTCCTCATATGCAAGTTTTCAGCCAATCCAAAACAGGATTATTGACACTTAGAAAACATTGATTGAAACAAAATCCACATATGACTAGTGACATAAGAAAAGACGGACTATTTCTGAATTTTAACAAAAATAATATATATCCATCGCGTGAAAATAGTTACGTTATATGTAAAATTTTATCTTTGTTGCTATTAAAACCGATTAAAAACTATAATATCTAACACATATCGTAACTATTCATGTAAAATTTATGTAGCAATAAAATCATTTTAGTACTTTCTATTATAGTAAAATATCTCGTTAGTTCATGTGTTTTTAATAATATTAAAATTATACATTATTCTTGTGTTTTTAATAATATTAAAATTATACGTTATTCTTAAAAAAATCTGAGATTGGTTTTTGAGACATAAAATGTTCATTATACCCTTTTCACAAATTAACAATACACTAATATTGTTTTTTTTTAAGTTATGAAAATACTTTGAAACAATTAAAAACTAAAAATACAAATAAGTTAAAATGTTTTTAGAAAATATTTTTAAAGTTATTAGTTTTGAATATTTATGTCCAAAAAATTAGTCTCCATCTACTAAAAGAAAGTTTCTTTAAATTAGGTGAAGGTATTGTTTTAATATTATTGAAAATACATGGTACCAATGAGATTTTTGCTATAACATAATATATCAAAATAATTTTATCCTTTTTCTTTTATTATGCAATAATGATGTAACTATCTATGCTAAATTTTATAAATCGTTCGTTAAATTTATTGTTAGAGATTGACCATGTTCATTTTACCGATTTAAATTTTGTTACAGTAAAAAACTCTCAAAAATAGTCGCATCTAACTTTTTTACTAGAGTAAAAAGTTCTTACATAAAGTCACATTTCAACTCGAATCAGCGAACTAAACGGCCCCTAAAACTGTTAAAAAAATGAAAATTTAAAAACTAAAATATGGCTGAATTAAAAATTGAGATACCAAAATGTGACGAATACTTAAACGGACTAACAGAACTATTAACCTCAATAAAAATCATTGCTCCTTTTCTAGAGAGAGAGATTGGGGAAACCATTGCGCAAAAATCAACTGAGTTACCCCAGTTAGGAATCATCTTTTAGAGAGAGAGATAGAGATAGATGGGGGAAACCATTGCGCAAAAGTCAACTGAGTTTCAACGTTGGTATCTTATTTTGGGACAACATTAATCTGGAAAGATTAGCATGTCTTAAAAAGCAACATAAATAAAGAGGTTTATATGAGAAACTTTACACGTATTACATAGAAATAGTACATTTAATTAGTAAATTCGCGTCATGATTCGAATCATAATTCGTGATTCATTATAATATTTTTTTTATAAAAATACAAGTAAATAAAAAATAATTTTAAATCCATCAATTAAATGTCCACAACCATCTAAACTCTAAAAGCCGCAAGGAGTGAAACTTTAGAAGATGACGATCTAAACTTTAAAAGAAAGTAGGATAAGACTTACTATTCTTACAGAACAGTTGTAAAATAAGAAATAAAAATTCATGCACAACATTAATCTTTTGATATTTGCGAAATCAATATTTACCGATATTTTCTCTAAATTTTGACGGAAAAATTTTATATTTAAAAGATATTTCAGTACCTCAAAAACGCCAAAATTACGGTGAAATTCAAATCCATGATATGTTGGACGTTGAAATCATTCCAAGACATGCAAACATAGAGTAATTAGAGTCCAATCTCTTTTACAACTTGAATCACAACTTCATTTTTTAACTACGATTTACTGTAATATTTTTCTCGTATAAATTTATTTTTAAATTTAAACCCGTAAAAAAAAGAGTGCCTAAATTTCATAGCAGATAAAAAAAAATATAATAAAGTAACAAAACTCGACACTTACTAATGCTTAAAAAATTATATTATATTAATAAGAAATTCTCCATAAGAAAAGTATTTCCTTTTTATTATCCGATAGAAAAAGACTTTCGTCAAAGGTCATAAAAGGTCCGCTTAACAGAAATGCAGGACTTGAAAAGAAACTGCCAGTAGAAGTCAATCTAGCAAACCAGACTTGACAAAGAGAAGGTTCCGGGCAGGAGTGGAGAGCGCAAGCAAATTGCTGCGCAAGTGTCACTGCTTAGCGCATTGGCAATGCAAAAAATTTAGAGGGTGGTTAATATGAGGATTTGTGATATATTTAAATTATGATTCGTAACTCGTTATAATATTTTTTCTCACAAAAAATACACATAAATTGAAAATAGTTCTGAATTCATAATCAAATGCCCACTTAGTTTTAAAGTCTCGTTTGTTTGGTTTTTTTTTTTGGTATATAAAATCACTACTCTACACCGAAACAAGGTCTATAAAACTAAAAATGCGTTTAGAGTAAGGATCCGTATCATAATTCGGATTATGATTCGTGACTCACTACCTTATTTTATCTCACAAAAACCACTTATAAACTGAGAATTATTCTGAATTATAGTTCTAAATTCATAAATTAAACGCCATATAAATAATACGATAGGAAATGACAATTTATAACTCATTTAATTCTCACGTTTAAATGAGTGATTTTGATTTTTAAATTTAAATTTTATTAAAGAACCTTTAACGAGAATTTTTTTATTCAAATTTTTTATTATAAAAAAATACCGCAATAAAATTAAAATCATAATTTTAAATACGTAAAACAAATAAAATTAAAATTACTTAAAATTTAGCTAATTAGCGCTTTAGGAATCCTCTCATGCTATCTAGTACTTTCTAAAAGTGATACTTAGCACCCCTACAAAGACTTTACAATTTTATTAAAGAACCTTTAACGAGAATTTTTTTATTCAAATTTTTTATTATAAAAAAATACCGCAATAAAATTAAAATCATAATTTTAAATACGTAAAACAAATAAAATTAAAATTACTTAAAATTTAGCTAATTAGCGCTTTAGGAATCCTCTCATGCTATCTAGTACTTTCTAAAAGTGATACTTAGCACCCCTACAAAAAACTTTAAAAAAAAAAAAAAAAAAAAAAACCTTTACGATCTTGCTTTCCAACTACCAAAATTGAATAACATACAAACAGAGGTGGCTGAGGAGCCAAGACGTAGACGTGTTTGTTCTTCAGTATTAACATTCTCAGCATTGCTACACGGCAACAACCACTAATCTTCCTTGATGGACATTGTCAACTAGAATTTCTTATAATATTAAAAATTTATGTACCCAAACAACAACTTCCAAACTTCTGCTTAGTTTGCAGAGGAGATTCATAGAAGAATTAAAAATTCCCAAATAATAATTAAATTAAAAAAAGAGGAAAAAATTCGAATTAAATTTTCTTGGTGTGAAAATAAAAATAACAATTTTTTTCTTCAAAAAAAAGAAAAAAAAAAAGAGAGTAAATGCTAATCTCCACGGGAGGGGCACCAAGGCGTCATGTCCATTGGATAACTCCCCAAGACCCTCAAGAAGGACGTGAACTCCTGAACCTCAGCCAGCGCGTTCTGTGCCCTAACCTCCGCCATGGACGCCTCGAAATCCACGTAGAACATGTACTCGAAGTGCTTCGCCGTGCCGACGTTTGCGTCGTCGACGAGCCTAATCGGATGGTTCCGGTGCGGCCGCGACTCGATCTTCGTCAGGCTGATGTTCCGGAACGCGAACGCCGACAAGACCTTGAACAGCACCGACGTCCCCTTCTCGTGCGCGAACACGATGCTCGTCTTGAACGGCCGATCGGTTCTCGGAATAATTGGCTCCCTCGCCAGCATCACGAATCTGGTCACATTGCTCGAGTCGTCATGGATCCCGTCCGCCAGGATGTTCAAACCGTACAGATCCGCGGCGCGTGCGCTTGCAATCGCCGCCGTATCTCTTAGGTTGTTGGCCGCGACAAACTCCGCGGCTCCGGCGGTGTCATCAACTGCCTCACGCGCAACGTTGAGGCCGAGTTTCGTCAGAGTCAGCTCGCACTGAGCGAGTGCCTGAGGGTGGGAGATCACGCGCGTGAGGTACTCCTTGCGGACTCCAGGTAGGGCCAGGAGGCAGTGGTGGACGGGGAGCTGGACTTCTCCGACGATGTGGAGACGGTGGCGGAGTAGGAGATCGTAGTTGCGGTGGATCGAGCCGCCGAGGGAGTTCTCAACAGGCAGAACGGCGCGATCGGCGAGCCAGAGCTCCACGGCCTGGAAGGCGACTTCGAATTGGTCGCAGGGTATGGCCTCGCAGTTCGGATAGGCTTTACCGGCGGCCGCCTCGGAGTACGCGCCGGGAACTCCCTGGTAGGCTACGCGGACCTGCGAGCCGTGCATCGGCGCCGGAGAGAGATCGGTGATCGTCAACGGGACCGGCTTGTTGTTGGTGACGGCAGAGACCTTGTCGATCGGGACGAGGTTTAAGTCCATGGAGGCGGCCTTGTGGCCATTGACGGAGGCGACGTGGTCAGCGCCACCACTGGAGGGTTTCTCCGTGGGTTGCTCTTGGCCTTGGGAGATGACTTTGCTGGCTAGAATGGCGCAGGAGCTCTGCCAGTCGGCGCGGCTCGATCCGATGCCGTTTGGGAAGCTCACGGACTCCGACCGGTAGGCGCACGATATTCGGTTCGGTTTGAACCGGCCGAACGCGGACCGCTTCGGCTGGATTAGCGGTTTGAGAGTGTTAGGTGAAGAAGACGGTGTAATGGCCTGCATATTGAACTCGGAACTCCCAAATCTATAATAGACAACAGAAATGAGAGAAATTTGTGGGAGTGTTTTTTTTTTTTTTTGTCTTTGTTTTGTGAAATGTTTTTTTTTTTTTTTTTTTTTCGGTTTTGGGG